CCCGGAGGGGCGGAGCGCGGCCCCGCAGGCCCCCGAGCCGCCCCCCCTCCCGGCCGCCCCCGCCCCCGGCCCCGCGCGCGACCGGCTCCCCCGCGGACACCTGCTCCGCCGAGGATCCGATTTTGCAAACATCGATCGATCGAGAGCCCCTGCGAGTGCCAGGCGCCGTGCCAGGGGCTGGAGCTTCAGAGGCGAGCGAGGGGGGTGGGCACCGGGCAGCGGCCCGACCAACCCGCGGCTACAGTGCTACGTGCTGCGAAAGATTTATCGGTGCACGCTGCCCTGGGGACGGGGAGGCGCGCGAGGGAGGAGGAGTGCGGCTGGAAAGAAGGCTGCTGGAGTCTGCCTGGGTGGGAGGGGGTGAGGTTGAAAAAAACAAAACAAAAACAAAAACAAAAAAAAAAAAAACAACAAACACTAGTTAGTGCCCTGAGGCTTCACCAGGGGGATGAACCCCCAAATAGCTGGCTTCTATTGTGCTCCAACTCCCGCCTACTCCTGGGATCACGCTGTTAGCCCCAGATACAAAGACCAAAATGATCTCACTTCAGTTGAGGAAACTGAGGCTCATGAACTGAAGGAGGAGGATGTGGATGCAGGGACCCGCCCGTAGAAAGGTACCACTGAGTGAGTGAGCAGGATCTTAGAGGATGAGGGGTGGCCTGGTGGGTGTGTCCCCTCCTCCCAGACACAGCATCAAGGAACAGCGCAGCCCACACGGAGGCTTAAGACACGCGTCCCAGAGAGGTAGTCAGTAGACAGGCCTCGGGGCTTGCAGTGGTCAGGCGGGCTGTGAGAGGCAGCAAAAGTCAGCGAGGAATTTCCCCACCCCCGCCCCGGGCGCAGCCATCCCGGTGTTCCTCAGATTGTGCCCACGGGTCTCCTGAGGCTTGTGGGGCGAGTTGGGTGTATCATTCTGCATTTCTGACGCCCGGGCCCCCTGGGGTGTGAAACGGTTGGACTGCAGGCCACATTCACAGAAGATGAAAGCTCAGACGCCCGTTTGTCTCAGTCAGGGCTTCTATTGCTGTGAGGAAACGCCACAGCCAAAAGTAAGTTGGGGGGGGGGGTAAGAGGGCTTACTGGGGCTTTCATCGTTGAGGGAAATCAGGACAGGAACTCAAGCAGGGCTGAAACCCGGCAGCAGGAGCTGATGCAGAGGCCACGGAGGGGGAGGGGTGCTCCCTACTGGCTTGCTCCCAATGGCTAGCTCAGCCTGCATTTTTTTTTTTTTTTAATAGAACTCAGGGCTATCAGCCCAGGGATGGTAGCATCCACCATGGGCTGGGCCTTCACACACACACACACACACACACACACACACACACACACACGAAACAGAAGAGCCACAAGCTGGGAAGGGATACTATCTGATGAAGGGCTTGTGCCCAAAATAAAGAACTCTCACCATTCAATAATAAAAAGACAAGCAGCCAAAAAAAAAAAAAAAAAAAAAATCGCACAAAAGATGCAAGCCTACATTTCACGGAGGAGGATACACAAATAACATCCTGCCGCTCGAGAAGATGATCGCCCAACGTCACTTGTCATCGCGGAAATGCAAATTAGAACCTGTCAGTTCCCGCTGCCATAACAAAACCCCACAGGCTGGGCACACTCTAAATAATAAGGGACATTCGTCGCCTAGAAGCTGGAAAGGCCGAGATCAAAGCATGAGCAGGATCGTGACATGACAACGGCACTCTGCGAGCTTCCCTCACACATCGGAAAGAAAGGCAGGACGGACAGAAAGGCATGCACACTGCGTCCTCGGGGCGACTCGTGTGCGACTCATGTTGTCAGTGAGTGGACGGATAGATTGTGCTGTGTATCTGTACAGCCGCTTTCATGTTGATTTTACTGTTGCTGTGATAAAAAAAACTCTGACAAAAACAAACAAACAAACAAACAAAAAACCAATGTAAGTGTTTGTTTGGAGAGCTAGTTCAAGAGTATAGGACACTATCAGGGAACTGCAGGGTTGCTGGAAGCAGCCAGTCCCATAGTAACTGAAGTTACAGGCAAAGGATGATGGGTAGGCCCTGCTGAATTCAGGAGTTCGGAGCGTGTGTACTTTATCATGAGGACCAAAGTTCAGATCCCAGCGTCCACACTGAGTGGCCCAAAATACATGTGACTCTAACTCTGAGGGACCCAGCACCCTTTTCTGGCCTCCAAGGGCATACACACATATACAAGTGCATATACTCTCACAGACACATACATGCACTCGCGTGCACACACACACACAAATAATACAAAATAAAAACAGGGTCTTTAAAAAAGATAAAATTGTATAATGCGTGTATATGTCCTTTAGTGCAGGGTTTTTCAAGCAAGCAGGGGAAGGCAGAGGAAGAGAGAGATTTGGGTGAATGAGATCTTAGGGTGAGGGTGCTTGGGAGAGAGCTGAGTCCCCATCACAGACAGGAGACGCAAGGGCGGAGTTGACTAAGATGACTGGGAGGCCAAGGCATGAGTCACCCAGCCGGAGCTAAGGTGCTCAGTGCAGAGGCCATAGCAGGAGGAGCTTCGAGGACGGAGGAATGAAGGAGTAAGAGAGGAGTTTGTGCAAGAAGAGGCTGTAGGAAGCCTGATCCAGAAAGGATGCGTGCCAGCGATTCTGGAAGAGGTGGCAGAGACTCTGCCTCCGGCTACAGGTGCTCCTGGCTGGGCTTGGCGTTCAGCCCAGGCTCCAACGGGAACAAGGAACAATTCCAAGAGAGGAAATGGGCTCCATCCCGGTTGGGCATCTCTAGGTGAGGTGAGTCAGAGGAAGATCAAGAGAAGGTGCCAATCCATTTACATCTCAGTGAAAGCAAATGGGTATGTAGCTCAGTGGTAGAGTACCTGCCTCACATATGCCAGGCCTCTGTGCCACATTAAATATATAATAAATAAATGAACAAACAAATGAGAAGTGATACAGAAAGAAAGACAGATAGATACATAGATACATAGAAGTTTATTATTTAGAACTCAATATGGCCAGGCAATGGTGGCGCATGTCTTTAATCCCAGCACTTGGGAGGCAGAGGCTGGTGGATCTCTGAGGTCTAGCTCAGTCTGATCTACAGAGTTCATTCCAGGACAGTCGCAGCTATACAGAAAAAAAACCCTGTCTCAAGAATAAACAAGAAGGAAGGAATAAAAAAAGATGGAGGAAGGAGGGAGGGAGGGAAGGATGAAGGAAGAAAAGAAGGAAAAAGGAAAGAAAGAAAAGAACTTAAATATGTATACAGGAAAGTACATAAGCCAAATTCCCAGAGCAATAAAAACCAGAACACTTGTGCAACCCACACTCCAACAGAGAAGCAAACATTAGCAGCTCCTAGAATCCCCTGCAGACCTCCGGCTCACAGCTTCCATGTTCTGCTTTATGGCTTAATCTTACAGCATGCATATTAACCGTACATTGCTAGTAAGTCTGGTCAGCTTTAGACATAAACAAACAGACTCAGAATACACCACAATTGCCAGCATCTTCATATTTTGCTGACAACATATCCACGCTGTCCCTGGATGTATGGTTTTCGATATTTTCTCCCCTACCCTGCCCAACTCTGTGGCTTTTTTTGTGTCATCTTTTGATGGACAGCTTTTTAATTTTAATATACTCGATGAGCATCAGTATTTTCCTTTGTGCTTTTCTCTTTATCGATCTCAAGTATTCTTTCCCAAAGTTGGGAGCTGACAAAGTGCCTGCCTGGCATACACAAAACCCTAGGTTCAGCTCACAGTACCACAAAAATCAAGTGTTGGGGCAGCACCTGAGCTGTTAAGACAGCTAGATAAGAAGTTCAATGTTAGCTAGGCACGGTGGCACACGCCTGTAAATCCCACCACTCAGGGAGGCAGAGGCAGGTGGATCTCTGTGAGTTCAGGGCCATCCTGGTCTACAAAGCGAGTCCAGGACAGCCAAAGCTACACAGAGAAACCCTGACTCAAAAAGAAAAAAAAAAAAAAAAAGAAGTTCAATATTATTCTTAGATACACATTGAGTTCAAGGCCAGCTTGGGCTACATGAGACCCTCGAAACCAAAAGGAAACAGGCTGGAGAGAGGGCCCAGTGGATAAAGCACTTGCCACACAAACGTGAGAACTGGAGTTTGTATCCCCAGAACCCAAGGAAAGCCAGGCATGGTGGGGCACGTCCGAAACCTCTGGACTCCAGCGGCTAGGTGGGAGGCAGAGCCAGTCTCTGAAAGCTTGAGGGCTAGCTAGCCGTGCATGTACAGTTGGGAACGATAAAGCAGTCCTGTTCAGAAACAAAACTAAACAAAAACTTGTAGGCAAAGATTGGCACTGGAGGTTGTCCTCTGACCTCCACGTGTGGGCCATGGCAGACAAATGCCCTTGCATGGATACACACACACACACACACACACACACACACACACACACACAGAGAGAGAGAGAGAGAGAGAGAGAGAGAGAGAGAGAGAGAGAGAAAATAAAGAACTCTTCCCCTACCCAAAGGCCATGAAATTGCTTTCTACTATGTTCTAAAACTTGTACCTCTCACCTCATAATCTACCTAGAGTTAATTTTCAGGCATGATGGGAGACAGGGATCCTCTCTCTCTCTCTCCCCACTACTATACCTCCCTTAGACCTTAACACACACACACACACACACACACACACACACACACACACACACACAGAAAAAAAGTCACCAATGCTCTGAGTTCTATAACATTTTACATATAGCAAATGCAGGAAGAGATGGAAGAGATGTCTCGGTGGTTAAGAACACTTACCACCAGTGCCAGCTAGGTTTTTTTTTGTTGTTGTTGTTGGTTTTTTTTTTTTTGGGGGGGGTTGGTTTTTGTCAACTTGACACAGCTAGAGTCCTTTGGGAGGAGAGAACCTCAACTCTAGAGAAACGCCCCCACCAAACTGGCTGATGAACAAGCCTGTGGGACATTTTTGATGATGGATATGGGTGGGCCCCTTGTGAGTGGTGCCACCCCTGGCTGCTGGTCCTGGGTGCTATAAGAAAGAACAAGGCATGAAGAGCAGGCCAGGAAGCGGCCTGTTCCTCCATGGCCTCTCTCCCAGCTCCCGCCTCCCAGCTCCTGCCTTGAGTTTCTGCCCTGACTTCCCTTCGTGATGAACATGTAAACTGAGATCAACCCATTCCACCCCAAGTTGCTTTTGGACAGGGTGTTTTATCCCAGCAATAGAAACCCCAACTAAGACACATCCAGAGGACCCAGGACCCAAGTCAGGCATCTTAAAACCACTTAAATTCCAGCTCCAGGGAACCCAACACTCCTATGGCCTCTGGGCATCTGCACACATATGGCTCTCATAAAATCATACACACACACACACACACACACACACACACACACACACACACACATTTAAAATCAAATAAATAAATAAATCTTTGGAAAATAAACATATAAGCGTATCAAGAATGCATGCCATGGTCCCGAAGATTCAGAGCCTCTGGGTCGTGGCTTATACAGCCTCCATCGTTCTGGGTCTCTGGTGAACGGTACATGAGCCATGCTCATCCCCTCCCCTATTTTTCAATACCCCCTCCTTAAATTCATTAAAGAATGTCATTCTATTTACAGAGGCCAACCTCCTGCCCTTCTCCTAATCTCTTCCAAGACAGTGATATTCTCCTCCCCTGTTCTTCAAATCTGCTGTCACTTTTCTACTTTCCAGCGCCTGCCTAAACATCCACGGTGGAATTGTGCCTGCGTGTGTGTCAGCGAGGAACCCATGCTGGGACTCTCCCTGCTGTCTGCAGTATCTGCAGGCCCTGCCAGTCCGTCGCTCTTGCCCACCGTCTCTGCGTGTCCTTGCCGTGCCATCTGGTGTCCGCTGGATTTGGTAATCTTGGATCATAGACCAGGTCATGTTTGGAAAAAAAAAAATTCATTTGTCAAACATAATTTGAGGCTTAGGTCGGTGCTAATTTCCTCCAGGAAGGATTTCTCATCGGTGTCCTGTGGAGCTTGGGGGTTAAAGACAGGAAGGAGCCAGGCTTGGAACACTTGTAATTCCAGGTCAAAGCTTAAAGTTTTAGGGCCTGGGAGGTGGCTCAAAAGGTTAAAAGTGTTTGCTGTGCAAACTTGATTACAGCATCCAATTTCCCAGAATCCATGATGGGAAGAGAAGACCAACCCCTGAGCTTTAATTCAGTTCATGACACACAGGCGCACACCCACATACATGCAAGCACACACACTTCATATACAACAATAATTATTATTAATAAAAGTAATCGTGAACTATATTAATAATTATTAATAATACTAATGATTCATTAATTGATTGTTTTGATATAATGGAATTGCATATAAAATGCAATAAGCTATGTACTGTCATTTATTATTAATTAATAAATAAAGATTAATAAGTTATTATTAGTAGTAGTAGTAAAATAAGGAAGTTTTAAGTGTCCCAGAAAACCTTCATGACAGGGAGTGGAATGGAAGTCCACAACATCCTGGGATTTTTGTGCCACTCAGAGTCCCTGCTCTTGGCCTTCGCTGCTTCTTCTGGAGTCTCTCCCCCAGCACTTGAGGCTGAATCTGGAGCCAAGCATGCGCCCAGCAAGCACGTTACCACTGTCGAAGCATCTTCTGCATCAGTGAACACTCAGGGATGATTGCTCCTGGCACGCCAGGCGCTCATTTTTCTGCTTGCAGACCGAGGCCGCCCGGTAAGTCCTCCCCCTCCCCATCATTCTTGGTCGCTTAAAATTTTCAAATAATAACATAGTATGTCGGTCTTTTCTTTTTGTGGTCTTTGTCTTAATGAACTTATATTTTAGAATGAATTTGGCTTTCCAGACAATTTCAGGAAGTTCCTGAATAGCCGTCAGTGTTTCTCCTAACGTCAGCATCTTACATAACCAGGATGTAGTTGTCAAAGCCAAGAAACTAACCTTGGTACATTACCGCTAACTAGACTCCAGATTTCATTAAGATTATTTTGCTAGTTTCTACACTAATACCTTTTCTGCGTCCTGGGATCCGATCCAAGGTACCCCACGGCATTTAGCTGTTAATGTTCTTCAGGAGATTTATAAAGATAAATACACAGTCATCTCCCAGAGTCCACAGGGCATTGAGGCTGGTACATCTCCCCCAGACCAAAAAGCGTGAATGCTCCCCAAGTTCCATCTACAAAACGGCGTTGTAGGCACACGAAGCTTGCACATGCCTTCAAATGCCTAACACAAAGTAAATGCTGTATCAAGAGCTGCTCTGTGCTGCTTAGAGAATCATGGCAAGTTCATTAGAGACGCACACATCATAGGTCGGCAGAGCCGGGCCTGGTGGCACAGGTTCTTACCAAAGCTGTTTGGGAGGCTGAGGCAGAAGGATTGCAAACCCAAGGCCTGCTTGGGCTACCGAGTGAGTTCAAGGCCAGCCTGGGTGCTTAGTGAGGTCAAGTAAAAAAAAAAAAAAAAAAAAAAAAAAAAAAAAGATAAAATGAGGGTTAGAGGTATAATTCAGTAATAGAAGGGCTTGCCTAACTTGTTCAGGACCAAAGTTTGATACACACACACACACACACACACACACACTGGACAACACTCAACTCCCGAGTATTGGAGAGGTATCAAGTGTCTGCTCTGTGAAATGGTGGGCCTACATGCGTTCCATGTACTACTTAGCAAGTAGAAAATTCAAAATTTGCTTTTCTAAAGATTTCTGAACTTTAAAAAAATTATTGGGGCTGGAGAAACAGCTCTGCAGTTAAAAGCTCCGGCTGCTCTTGCAAAGGACCCAGGTTCGGTTCCTGGCACCCACATGGCAGCTCACAACCATCTTTAACTCCAGTTCCAGGGGATCCAAACACCCTCTTCTGGGCTTTCTTGGACACCGGGCATGCCTGTAATGCACATAGAAAATAATAAATAAATAAATATTTTTTAAATGTTTCGGTTTTGGTGCATGTGTTTAGAGTGTGTGTGTGTGTGTGTGTGTGTGTTTGTGTGTGTGTGTGTGTGTGTGTGTGTGTTTGCTTTCTGCTGTGTGATGGTCACTATCCTCACTGCTTCCAGGCAGTTCTGTTCTTCGGCCTGAAAGCTGTCAGCAGAGTGAACAGACGAACGTAAAAAGATTCCCAAATTTGTTTTCAGTGGCAGTTAAAACACGGTTCGCACCTGCCGGGGCTGGGGAAGCTGAGTCCGGCGGCGGCCGAGATGCAGGATAGGAGAGGAAGCCGCACCTGTGTGGTCCAGGCCGCGCTTCAACATCCCAACAGCTGAACGCGCGGGGCCTCCACAGCATGGCTGGCGGCTTCCCGCCGACGCCCCCTCCTGTAGGACAGAGCCCACAGGGCCGGTACTTGTGGCCTCTCGCCAAGCGTTCACCGATTTAACTGATTGTGGAGGGGAAAACTAGGCTTACATCTTTGAGCCTCCTTGTTCTCTTTCTCCGGGGAGCCCGCCCCCTGCAGCGCAGGCTTGCCGCTCCGCCGTATCCCGTGTGTGTTCTGGGGGGGGGGGTTCACTGCGGCTGGAGGGAGAAACGGATCTGGGGTTAGAAGCATCAGCTTTCCCTCCAGAGGATCTGGGTGTGTAAGGTGCAGCTCACTACCATCTGTAACTCCAGCTCCAGGGCAACCCAGCGCCTCCTTCAGGCACAGACACTCAGGCAATTAGAGGATAAAAACTAAAGCCGGTGTGGTGGCGCATGCCTGTGATCCCAGCACGTGGGAGGCAGAGGCAGGTGGATCTCTGTGAGTTCAAGGCCAATGAGGTCTACACAGTGAGTTCCAGGACAAGAAAGAAGGAGGAGAAGGAGGAGAAGGGGAAAAAGGAGAAGAAGAAGAAGAAGAAGAAGAAGAAGAAGAAGAAGAAGAAGAAGAAGAAGAAGAAGAAGAAAAGAGTTAAGGGCTAGCGATGGCTCAGCAGAGACTGGCTGTTTTTCTGGAAGTCCTGAGTTCAAGTCCCAGCAACTACAGAGTGGCTCACAACCATCTTTAGTGGGATCTGATTCCTTCTTCTGGTATGCGGGCATACACACAGAGCACTCATACATAAATAAATAACTCTTTTCTGCTTGCTTCTTTTTTGTTCTTCAAGACTGGGTTTCTCCATGTAGCCCCGACTGTCCTGGAACTCACTCTGTAGACCAGGCTGGCCTCGAACTCACAGAGATCTGCCTGCCTCTGCCTCCCAAGTGCTGGGATTAAAGGTTAATGCCACCACCACCCAGCAAACATATAAATCTTAAAAAAGAAGAGGAAAATTTTAAATGATGGGCCTCCTTTGTTTTCTCCCTTATACAGTTGGAGGTGAGCTGTCAGAAAGGCTTTTGTTGTTGTTTGTTTTGTTTTTGTTACTCTACTGTAGTCTCAGATCACTGGCTTTCTGAATAAGCACAGCCTAGCAGTGTTTAGATTTCTTACAATATAGAATATGAAAAGGCCAGAAAGATGGCTTAGCAGGTGAGGGTAGGTGCCGTTGAGCAGACTGTTCAGGACCCGCAGGATGGAAGGAGAGAACCAGCTCCTGAAGGTTGTCTTCTGCCCTTCACACTTGCTAGCTATGGCCCAGGCTTGTCCTCTGCCTATATACACACAAGCCAAATAAACAAAAGGTAGGGAGGTGGGGTGGCGAAGGCTCACAGTGCTGGAGAGGTGGCTCAGGGATTCAGAGCGCTTTCTGTTCTTGCAAAGGAACCAACTTCACTTCCTACTTCAGGCCAGTACCACAACAGCCTGTAACGCCAGTCACCAGGGAATCTAATGCCCTCGGGCCTCCGAAACTGACACAGACAGACACACACACTAATGCACATAAAGTCGAAAATTAAATAAATCATAGAAGAAAGAGAGAGAGAGAGAGAGAGAGAGAGAGAGAAAGTGATCTGCTCTCTTGTTCCTCTTGTTCTCATTTAATCAGTCAGAAGTTAGGACCACGGACAGGGCCCACACCAGCTCTCCATTCCCACACTTTTCCACAGTGCTTCCTGGCTGGGAAGATGTTTTGTTTCCAAAAGTTTTGTTTTGTTTTATTTTATTTTATTTTATTTATTTTATGTTATGTTATGTTATGCTATTTTATTTTACTTTATGTATATGGGTGTTGTGCCGACCTGTATGTACATACACCACCTGTGTGTCTGGCATTTATGGAGGTCAGAATTGGGTATCAGATCCCCTGGCATTGGAGTTACAGATAGTTTTGAGCCACCATTTGGGTGCTGGGAATCAATTGTCCGGTGCTCTTAATCCGTGAGCCGTATCTCTATCCCCCTAGAAAATCAGTTTTTTACAGAGCCCTCCAGATCAGCTCCTGGGCTGGGAGAGTATAGGTAATAAATGTTCAAATACGAGGGAGGAGAGCGTGCAGGACAAGCCTCAGAGCCGACGCTGCATTTCTCTAAGTAAGCATTTGTCAGCATCTCCTGTGCTCCCCTGAAAATGATGATCATAAATAACATGCCTGCTCATACGCTTAAATTCTCTAAGTCAACGTATACTACCCAAGCTATGCTAGGGAGAAGAAATAAAAAGAAAGCAATTTATTACCAAAGAGCACATATTTCAAAATGTCAGGGGCCAGGCCCTATGGACCCGGAAAATATAATGAATGTCAAACGCTCGCCCCGCTGTAATGAATAAGTTAGACACTAGGAACAGGAAACATTTAGAAATAAAGACACGCAGAAGTAAACTGTGAAGAGCTAGAGTAGATATCACCTTAATTGTGCGTGTGTGGTGTGTTTTGTGTGTGTGTGTGTGTTTCAAACTGCGAAGACTGCTTGCCTTGGGTAATCCTGTAACACAGGAAAGGGACTCACGTTCCAGACCGAGGTCAGTGGGGTTTCGCAATGCGGTGGTCCAACCTGGCAAATAGCATCAGCGCCCACCAATCACTGTGTACCCTTAACTCACGTACCCTTGTGCTGGGGAGACGGCTCCTTACATGAAGACACCTGCAGCCAAACAAGATTACCTGTGCTATGTCCAGGAGCCCACATGGCGGCAGGGGAGAATCCGGCAAGTTGTCCTCTGCCTTCCATACAGTGCCATGGCATGTGTGTGCTCGAACACATTTACACATAATAAATAAATAAATAGGATCTTTAGGCCTCCGATTACCAGAGCCACGGAACAAACTCCCCTTCCACAACCATTCAGTTAATGTTTTATTACTGCCCCGCCCCGACAGCCCTTGGGAGACAGGAAGGAAACATACCAAAACGTTAACACTGATCTCCTAGGGCTGAAGGTGAATTACCAGCAGCTCTCCCGTCCTTGCCTTCCCTTCTTTCTACACATCCGTATTCAAACGTTGGCTTAGATCCTGTACGAACTTTGCAAGCAAGAGGGACAGGCTATTTTGGAAAATGGCTCAGAGCCTCCCTCCAGCGTTCGTGATCGTTCTGTTCACTTGAAGGGTTAAACGAGTCTGCAAAACGGAACACTGGTTCGCTTTTGCAAGATAAAGTCCAAGGTTCAGGGGACCCGCCTTTCAAAGCGATTGGCTTAAGGCTCCCGGGTGAGGTCAGCTCAGCTCAGCCCGGCCTGCACCGCCGCTCAGTGGCCAAGGGCGGTACTGCATCCCAGGCTGTGGGATGCTGGTCAGGAAGGGCAGTACCGTTGGTCCTTAAAAGTTTTACCCCCGTGCTCGCTTCGGCAGCACATATACTAAAATTGGAACGATACAGAGAAGATTAGCATGGCCCCTGCGCAAGGATGACACGCAAATTCGTGAAGCGTTCCATATTTTTTGACCTGGAACCCCTGCACAGGTGTAGCCCATGGCAGTTCAGTGTCCAAGTGGGTTCCATAGTAATGGGAAGAGGGACTGCCTCTGACATAATCTGATTGGCCTGCTCGTTGATCACTTCCCCCTGAGGGGGGAGCAGCCTTACCAGGCCACAGTAGAGGACAATGCAGCCACTTTTGATGAGAACTGATAGACTAAGATCAGAAAGAAGGAGAGGAGAACCTCCCCTATCAGTGGACTTGGGGAGTGGCATGCATGCAGAAAGGGGAGGGAGGGTGGGATCGGCAGGGGAGGAGGGAGGGGCTCATGGGGGGATACAAAATGAATAAAGTGTAATTAATAAAAAAAATAAAAGATTTAAAAAAAAAAAGTTTTACCCCTGTCCACTTCAGCTTACGGATCTCTCTCTCTCTCTCTCTCTCTCTCTCCCTTCCTCTCCCTCTCCCTCTCTCTCTCTCTCAAAATAATGGCTCGTATACATATGAAACAAGTTTACATGTTTAAAATAAACAAGGGCCGACAAGATGGCTCGAAAGGTTAACAAGTGCTCGACATCATACGAGCCTGGTGACCCCAGTTGGATTCCCGGAATCCATGAAAAAGCGAAAGCAGGACTCTAAAAAATATAATTTTAAAATTTCAGTGAGCTAAACATAGAGGGGTGGAGAGATGGTTCAGCGGTGAAGGGCACAGGCCGTTCTTCCAGGAACCTGGTTTGATTCCCAGAACTCACAAGGCGACTCATAGCCATCCGCAGCTTCAGCATAAGAGATCCAGTGTCCTCTTCTGGCCTCTGTGGGCACCGCACACTCATGGTGAGCAAACGTATATGCAGGCAAAACATCCATACACACGAGAAACAGGTAAAGCAAAAAACAGTAAACCTAAAATGCTAAAAACAGAGAGTTTTAAACATTCTCAGGGATATACTAGTCAACAAATATGCTTCCATATTTAGTGCTTTAAAACTCAGATATAGGGGCTAAAAAACTAATAACTTTCCAAATAGTTAGGTATTTGGATACATCAGCAATAACTGATTGCTCCAGGGTTAATGTTTTTTTTTTTTTTTTAATGTGTAGACCTGGCTGGCCTTGAACTCGTGATCTTCCTGCCTCTGCCTCCTTCAGTAAATCCTACCACCAGGCACCACCATAGCCAGCAGGGTTTGTGATTCTCATAGTAACAGTGGTAGGTTCTGTGTAACTTTGGGAATTACTAATATTATTATTATTATTATTATTATTATTATTATTATTATTATTATTACTTTGTTTTGTTTTAGCTTTAGCTTTTTCGAAACAAGGTTTCTCTGTGTAGCTTTGGCCGTCGTGGACTCGCTTTGTAGACCAGGCTGGCCTCGAACCTGCAGAGATTCCCCTGCCTCTGCCTCCCCAAGTGCAGGATTACAGGCATGCGCCACCGGGCACTGGCTCCTTTGGAAATTCTCAATAGAAAGAAAAACAATATATCAGAGGTTCCTAAAGGCCCAAGATGCACGTTTTTCCCAGGCAAAGTCTGAGACCCTTGAAATGCACCAGGAGATCACCGATGAAGTCTAAGCAGGGGCTGGAGTTTGTGTGGGTCTGCAGGCTGTGCTACCTGGGTAGCAGGAGGCTCACTGGAGCGCCTGGTAAAGGGAAAAGCAGAGGCGCCTCCGGGGCTGGGCTGGGCGGGGTGACCCGGTCCCCCTCCCCTCCCCTCCTCTCCCTTCCTGGTTCCAGCCTGGGCGCTTCTGCAGGAAGCCCCGACCCCCACCCCGTGTGGCCTGGAGGAACTCAGACATCTGTCTGCTCCCGCAGTGTCCGGCACCCACCATGCGGCCTCTGGTCCTGCTCTGGGGCTGTCTGATGCTCCCAGGTGAGTGGAGACAGAGGTGGTAGGGGTGGAGGGGCGTAGAGGGGCAGGCCCAAGCTTGCTCTTGCGGTCTGTAGTTGCTCTTTCCCTCCTCCACGAGTGGAGGAGTTGGGGTTGGAGGTGTGGGAGTGGGAGGGGTGGGGAGGGGAGATGCATCCACATTTCACCCCAGCCAGCCCATCCTCAGCCAGGCCCCACACTTGCTGTTTTTGAGCTCAGACCCGGGGGCTCCCTCCCTGGCTTTCCCTGGCTCTGCAGATACAAAGGAGCTGAGCCTCTGTGACCCGCTCACCCCGTTAACTGACTTTATTGGACTCCTGCTAAGTTTGCTTTTCTTTTTTGCCTTTTTTCCCCCTTGCCTTATTTTTAATTTTGATTTATTATTGGTGTGTGTGTGTGTTATGTATGCATGTATGTATATAGTATGTGTATGTACACACACACACATATATGCAATGTTTAGTGCATTCTCAGGAAAGTTTTCTTTACACTTGTAATTTTTATCTTTTCTTTCTTGTCTGCAATGCTTGGAGGATGGATGGGACCCAGAGCTACAAGAGTGCTCTATGGCTAAGCCCTCTTTCTTTCTTTCTTTCTTTTTCTTTTTTTTCTTCATACACACTGGCCTTGAACTTGCTCTGATCCCAAGTAGCTGGGATCCCAAGAGTGCCCCGTCGGGCAGGGCTAATGAGGACGCATCTTTTAGCCGATGCCCGTTGCTCCATTGGCCGTGTTTGTTTGGCTTTCCCTTAGTGATATGTAAAATTAACTCCTACTGTGTTTTTTTTCCTTAAGTTTCTTGCCACATTTATTTGTTACATGTGTGTTTGAACATACGGGCATGCATTGGTACAGAAATGCTGCTGCACACTCAGGTCATCAGGCTTAGCAGCAAGCACCCCTATCCATTGGGCTATCTGGCCAGCCTGGCCCGTGTCTCTCAAATGCAATGAAGGAAAAAGTTATCATCGTCTATAGTAACGCATAGAGAGAGAGAGAAAAAAAAAAAAAAACAACACTCAGATGTGCTAAGCAACTTGCCCAAGGTCACAAAGCTACTGAATGCCAATGCTGGGACTCATACTCCCAATCTAGGGCACCTGCTCTACCCTTTTTCGATTAATGGGGTCTAGGGAAAGCTTGTTTTAAGGGGAACCTTTAAAACAGAAAAGATCTCCCTTCCTCCTGGTGAAATGGAGACTCCTGCTCTTTGGCCTGGGACTTGGAAACCCTCGGGAATCCCATCTCCGTTCGTGCTGTATTTTCAGGTTATGAAGCCCTGAAGGGCCCAAGGCAGATCAGTGGATTTGAAGGTGACACCGTGTCCCTGCAGTGTACCTATGAGAAGACAGTGGAGAGACACAGGAAATATTGGTGCCGGCAGGGCGGCATCGTGGTGTCCCGCTGCTCCGACATTGTCTACACCAATCAGGACCAGAGGGTGACCCGGGGCAGGATGTCTATCAGAGACAGCCCCAGAGAGCTCTCGATGACCGTGACCATGCGGGACCTTACCCTGAAGGATGAGGGGAAGTACTGGTGCGGGATTGACAGACTGGGCTTCGACGAGTCTTTTGAGGTCTCCCTCATCGTCTTCCCAGGTAACAAGTGCCCAGCTGGGTATGAGAAAATACAGAGGACACAAGGGATGGGCAAGGACATACGGACCATGGATTTGGTTTCCCCATTACAGAAGGGGGGCACAGTCTTGGTACCAACCTCCCCAGGCCTCTCCAGGACTCGGACAGTCAGTAGGGACACCTGCTGAGCACTGGGGACAACTTAGGTAGCCTCGCTGTGCCTTTGCTCTGGCGAGTCTTCCCATTAGGACCTCATAGAGTAAAATGGAGCCTACCGGTCCCTTCACCCTTAGCCTAGATGTGTTGGGGGCGACTGCCATGGGATGCGAACAGAATGACCATCTCATGGGACAAGGAAGGAGCTGAACATTCCCTGTGTCACAAATATTCCCACGGCCTCCTGGGACTAGGCCAACCATGGCTCCGCCCGCAGTGTCCCCTAACCATGCACTGACCTCACCATGCTGACGGTGTCTGCACCTTCCGTATCTGGGGAGCCTAGTGGAAGGAAGCCGGGAGGGGGGGGGGAGATTTAGATTTATGGACAGCCCAGTCTCGGGTGAGTGAGAGCTAGGCAGATCTCCGTACCACAGATGGGGCACAGAGACACCAAGGCCCTCAGCGACTGGCCTAAGGTAGACAAACCCAGAGAGCTGCCACCTTTATCTCTGATCAAAAGACAGGCCCAGGAGCCAGGTCTGTCCTCAGAACCCATTCCCGGTCACCTGTGGGTCTCCATGACAATTTGGGGGAATAAATAAATTAGCTGAACAACAGCAGCAGTGACAGAGCCTGGTTGCTGAGACGGAGGGGTGTGGCTCGGGGGCTGAGCATTCACCTGGTGTGGGTGAGACCCCCAGGTGCCGTCCCTAATGCTGCAGTCCTAAAGCAGCACTGAGGAGTGGCCTCCATTGTCTGAAAGGTCCTCCATCTCCTCCAGTTCTTATCGGTGCACAGGCATCCTTTTGTGTTTATTTGTTTTTAGTGCTGTTTTTATTTCATTTTATTTTTTTATTTTACTTTTGAGATGGTGTCTCACTCTATAACCCTGGCTGGCCTAGAACTCACAGAGCTCTACCTGTCTCTGCCTCCTGGGTGCTGGGACTAAGGTCTTGTACCAGCATACCCAGACTAGTGTTCTCTAGCTTTGAGAGTCTCTGGTGTCTGGTCCTTGCCCTCAGCTCTTAGTCACCTCTCCCTGTGTGCTCTGTGCCTTCCCGTCCTCTGGTTGGCTTCTGATGACAGTCTATACGGCTGCGTCGGTGGCTGCGCCACAGTCACTGGGGACACTGGTCTATGATGTGTCTAAGTTTCTATGGCAGCAAAATTCCCGTAAAGCTAGTTTCTACCTGCCAATCACTTAACAGCCAGCTCCCAGATTTCCTAAGATGTTAACAGGCCAGAGTGGACTAAGTGCCTCCAGGGCCAAACTAGGCTGAGCACACACCCACTCTCACTTCCTTTATCCCTCATCTCCCGGGGGCCCTGGGCAATGGATAGTGACTTAGAAACACAAAGGTCAAAGCTGCTCTTCATATACAGAAGAATTTTTGTCAGCTGCTTAGAAAATAGCACAAGTGCATGGCACAGTATTAGAATGGAGAATGGAGAGCAAGCCTGGAATGTCCTGGCTGGGTGTGGTCAGAAAAGACTTGGGGACGCTGGCCCTTGAGAAATCCCAGCCCAGTAGGGGACCCCCATAAAGTCATAGTCCGGTTGCAATGCACACTTGCTTCCCTGGAGGCAACCACGAGATGTTGGGGTACACAAAGGGGAAAGATGAGTTCCTCCATATTACTGGAGCTTAACTTTTGAGCTGATGATGGAGGTGGAGTGGCTTTCGGCAGAGATGTAAGAGAATGGCTTCACAGAGAAACAATGTGGCAAAGGCACAGCGGTAGAAAGGCTGACCCTGAACATCTGCGTGGGTCAGTGGGTTCCACAGTGAGATCAAAGTTCCACATCGGGAGAGAGGTAGCTCTCACAAGACTTGAAGTTTGAGTTTCGAAGGCCTTGAGAGACACACCAAGTAAGCATTTTGGCTCGAGGCTGCTCCCAAGCATTTTAGCTCACCTACGGCTCCCAAGTAAGAGCTGATAGGATCCAAGGTGTGTCTCAGAAATACAGGTGTCTGTGCAAAGGGTGGCATGAAGGGAGCAGGCTGGGGCAGGGGACACAGAATGATCCAGTGAGAGGATCGGTGGGGACAGCAGATTGGGAAGACCTGGAAACTGTTGGGATGTGCCAGTTATGGCTTCTGGTCAGCTCTGCTGAGGATGAGGGGAAGCTGCCCCCCTGTGGTGATGTCTGCCTCCCCTGAGAGCAACCTCTCCTTTTTCTCTAGGAGAAAGGGACAGTCCCATCCCCTCGGGTACCTGCTGTCCTTCCTCCCCCACCCCATCCTTCCAGCTTCTTACAGCTACAAGGAGCCCGCAGCCCAAGGCAAAAGCCTGGCAGACTCAGCTCCCAGAACTGAGTGAGTCAATGGCTTTCTCCATCCCTTCCCCATTTCAGATAACATACAGTAAGGGCCATTCAGATCCTCCCGGAAGCCAGAATGCCTCAGAGGAGCTTGGCACCGACTCAGGGTCAAATGGAAAATGTCTACAGCGGAGCCCAAAGCTCTTCCTCCAGGATCTGGGGCAAGCCAGACATTGGCCCTGACCTCAGGATTCATCTTTGCCACCTTTCTCTGCCCAGTCTTTGGCAGCTGAAGGAGGTCAGGTCTTGCTGAGTATAGGGTTCGGAAGGCCTGTGCTGAGCACAATAATGAACTTGCTCTTTGGTCAGAGAGAAGGTGACCCTGAGGGGAGGGCCAGGAAGGCGTGTCTACAGAGCGGTGTAGAACAGGGTCTTGTTTCTCTCAAAGAAAAACAAATTATGCATAGATGTGCCTGGCCCGGGTCTTGTTGCTCAAAAGGGCCTCACCTAGGCCTCTGCTTGCCTCCTTGATTAAGTTGAGGGTGTCCTGAGAGATTGGGAAGGTTCATGTTCAAGGGTTGGCCTGGGTGGGCCTCAAGGGTCAGGGGAGGTGCTGAAGCATTGCTTTTGGACTTGTAGCTTCTCCTGATCTCCACCCGACAGTCGTCACAGCCCAACAGGGGAAGACAGGGGTCCAGACCCCTGTATTCACCGAGGCGGCCCCAGTCCGGTCTGCAGGAACCTCCCAGGTTCCCCCAGGAACCTCTCCATATGCTGAGAGCTCTCCTCACACAGCGACCCCAGCCCAGGCTGCAGGAACCTCCCAGGTTCCCCCAGGAACCTCTCCATATGCAGGGAGCTCTCCTCACACAGCGACCTCTCCCCATGCAGGGAGCTCCCGCCCAGTCATCTGGCTGCCCCTCACCACACCCAAGGACTCCATGGCTGAAGCCAGCAGCGTCTCCAAGTCCAGGTGAGTCCAGGGGATCCTGAGACTCTACTCTCTTCCTTCCGGGCTCTTGTTGTAGCCACAGCCCGTGGCTCGGAGAGATTTAGGAGCCAGCAGCCCTGCTGCCCTGGGCACACGGGGCCGTCTGAGGTGAAGGGTCCACCTTGGTCCCCCTCTCTCCTCAAGCCACCCCAGCTCACAGGTTTGCCTGTTTAATTCGCCATGAGCCCTGTACTACAGGAAAATATGAAAGCCCTCAACAACTTCTTTCTTTACACTGATGGCTCCGAGCCTGCAGCAAAGGGTTCTGGGGCTCTACTTTCTTCCAGTGCCTGATTAGCAGGTCACTGTTAGCAGGTTGAAACTGTCCTGTAGGGCTGGGGTCTTTTGTACCCCAGGCAGAGCACACCCTGATGGGCTCTCAAACACTGGCCCCCGGTGCCTTCTGATCCCCTTGGGAGACAAGGAACCTGACTGGACCCAGAAGCAGAGCATTTTGCTACCAGTGCTAGTGACACCCACCCACGGGCCAGTGAGACTCCCCCATTTTTTTGCCAGATGCAGGCCTGCCTGTCATTCCAGCTACTTGGAAGGCTGGGGTAGGAAGATCACAAGTTCAAGGCCAGGCTGGGTAACTTCGTGAGACCTTGTCTAAAAATAAAATGCAGGGCTGGCAAGGTGGCTCGTTCAGTAAAGCACTTGGCGTGCAAGCCTGAAAACCATCTGAGTTCGATTCCCCAGGAAGGAGGAAAGAACTGACCCCGAAAAGTTGCTCTCTAACCCCAGCTTGCGTCCCATGGTGCACTCTCTCTCCCCCAATCATACCCTCAATACTAACACTACTAATAATAACTATTTTTTTTAAGTTAAAAGAAGACTAGGGATAAAGTTCGATAGTAGAGTGTCGGCACTTACGAGGTCCCAGGCTCAATCCTAGCACCCCACTTTTCCCAGCATAGCACGGGACCATTTCTGCTTAGTGACTTGTATAAATTTAGCAACAAATGTAGCTAGGAACTGTACTACTTCTTGTCCTGGGATTTATTTTTAGTGGGAGGAGTCTTTAGTTTGAGCTAAGATCTCTCGTGTAGCCCAGGCTAGGGTCCAGCTCTCTCTGTAACCAAGGGCGACCTTAAACTCCATATCTTCCTGCCTCCGCTTCCCAAATTCAAGGATAACAGTCAAGAGTAAGCTCACCTGGCTTTGGTCTAAGTATCCTAAACATCCCCACATGTCTGCTCCTCACAGCTCTGCTTTATAGGAGGTGGTCTGGAAGGTTCAGTCACCTGTCTGTGCAGTGTCAAAACCAGGGTTCAAAGCCAGGAAGCCTGGATTCGGGGTCTGAGTAGCCTGGCAGGCTTAGCCTGGTTGAATTAGATTTCAGGCCAGGAGCTGGCTTTCTTGGCTTATGCTGATTTGATGACAATCAGCCACCAGGGTCTTCCCATCTCTCTTCCAGTGGGTCCATCCTGACGGCCCGCACGATGGCCCCAGTCCTGGTGCTCTTGTCCCTTCTGCTGGCTGCGGGTCTGATTGCCTTTGGCAGCCACATGCTCCGGTGGAGAAAGAACGGTAAGTGATGGAGGAGATGGGAGGCTCACGCACACCTGTGCTGCGTCAGCAACCTTGGGAAGACATGCGGGCCTCAGTGGGCCGACAACCTTGCTGTTTGCTGGGCACAGTAGTGCGCCCCTTTAATCCCTAGCACTGGAGAGGGAAAAGCAGGCAGATCTCTGTGAGTTCGAGGCCAGCCTGGTCTACGAGCGAGCTCCAAAACAGCCGGGGCTACACGGAGAAACCCTGTCTTGAAAAATGAAACCAACCAACCAAACAAACAAACAAAAAAACAACTTAGCTGTGAGACAGGCAGCACTGAGAAGAACAGGCCAAGTGGGAGTTTTCTAACATGAAAGCTAAGAGCCAGGATGGAAGCATACACCTATAATCCCAGCGCTTGGAAGGTGGAGGCAGGAGGGTCAGGAGCTTCAGGCCAGTCTAGGATACATAGTGAGTTCAATGCTAGCCTGAGATATGTGAGACTCTGTCTAAATAAGTAGATAGATAGATAGATAGATAGATAGATAGATAGATAGATAGATAGATAGATAGATACATACATACATACATACATACATAGACAGACAGAGCAAAAGAGCTAGCAAAGTTAATAGGGTTCATTTAACTCTATACCTGAATCATGATGATCAGTTCAACACGGAACCAATATTAAAACATCAGCGACAGCTGGACATTGTAGCGTGAGCCCATGCTCTCAGCTACTCAGACCGAGGCAGGAGGATGAGTTGAGTCCAGGAATTTGAGAGGAGCCTGAGCAATACAGCCAGACCCTCTGTCAAAACCTCAACGAAATCTGATGATCATCCCCTAACTTTCTTTTTTATTTTTATCCTTTTCATGTTGGGCCTTTGGAAGCTTAGGTGTGATTTTAAGGACCACATTCCAGCGCTGGGTAACGTGTGTGGCTCCTGGCTCCTGTGCTGGACAGTGATGTAATGTCACTAAGTGTACCAGGTGCCAGGGAAGGCCTGTGTCTCCTTTTCATTTACTTGTGCTGGGGGGGGGGGGTACCCCATCGTACAGTGGAGGGAACTGGATGGTGATGCAGCTTGCCTTGTGTTTGCAAACCTAGGAAAGAGTAGAGCCAGGAAGTCTCCATGACTCCCAGGAAGAAGTCTAAGCTTCACCCCCAGGCCCCCTCATAGGAGGTCAGGAGGGAACACAGAGGACAAGAACAGCCTCAACAGCCTCAGTGAAGCCGCTTAGCTAGCATCTTACCTCTGGAATTGTGCCTCCCCAGCGAACAACAGCGCCCCCTTTGGTAACCTGTTAGAAATGCAGCGTCTCAGATCCAGAACCTGCGTTTTAAGAAAATTAACCCTCTGGCAGGATCTCTCGGCTAGTCAACACAGAAATGGTTTATCAACTCCTGTTGGTTGGCCGTTCCTTTGGCCTTCTTCTGAAAAGATATATCATAGTGCGAGCAAAACTGCTCACCTCATGGCTAGGAAGTGAAAAAGATGACAGGGTCTCACAACCCCCTTCGGAGACAGGCCTAAAAACCCCTTAGGTCCTACCTCCTCAAAGTTTTACCACTTCTTCACAGGGCCAAGCTGGAGACCAAGCCTCCAAGGGGACACAAGATCCAAGCTGTATCTGTTCCCTGTGCATGTTAGAGTTCAGAAGTGAATTACAGTTTCCTCGTTCACTTTCTAGTTCACACAGAAGATCTCAAACGCTAGCAGCTAGACAAGGTTTCCTGCTTCAGGGCCTGCCAGCTGCCTCTGGGTAGCTCTCAGACACCGGCGCAATGAGCCTGTGCATTCTGGGAAGGGCTTTAAGTTCTTCCCGGCCTCAGGGTTCTCCTTCTGGGTCTCTTTCAGTTCGGCTGACCACAGAGACACAGCGGGACGAGAAGGCGTGCCTCCCAACCTCGGTAAGGACCCAGGGAGCCAAAGTCAGAAATCAAGCCATCTGGGACCAAGGTCAGACCTCTGGGCCTGTCTTTGTGCCCACCTAGAGGCAGAGTTTTCTCCCAGCCTTGAAGGGATCTGTGGGAGTCTCGAGAGCATCGCTTTAGGGTGTGAGCTACCTAAGGGGTGTCCATCATCAGCCCTGACTCCTATCTGGTATCAGGCGGGGTCATAAAGAACCACATGGGCATCTTTCACCAGGAGGTACCTTCTTGGGACCTTCTTCCCACTCCATTTAGCATCAGGGGACATCAGTCTTGGCTCAAGAGGGGCCTGAGGAGCCTGGGCTTGGTGTTTATCTAAACTCTGAGCCCAGCTCACCTGGTCCGGGGCTAGGGACCCAAGTGCAAGAGCCTCTCAAACAAGACTTTGACAAATGAACCCGGGGCCCAGAGAGTATGAAGGTCTGGTCCTCGCTCAACAAGCAGCACTCAGATGTGGCAGTTCTTTTTAAAGATTTTTGTTTGTTTGTTTTTTTATTTCATGTATAGGAGTGTTTGGCCTGCATGTGTGTCTGCATACCATGTTTGTGCCTGGTGCCCATGAAGGCCGGAAGAGGGTATTGGATGCTCAGGAAATGGAGTCACAGACAACTGTGAGCCATCATGTGGGTGCTGGGAACCAAACCCAGGTCCCCTGCAAGAACAGCCAATACTTTTTTTTTTTTTTTTTTGAGACAGGGTTTTCCTGTGTAGCTTTGGCTGTCCTAGACTCAGTTTGTAGACCAGGTTGGCATCAAACTCATGGTGGTCCTCCTGTCTCTGCTTCCGTGAGTGCTGGGATTACAGTGGGTGCCACCGAGCCCAGCTCGGGCAATACTCTCAACCACTGAGCCATCTGTCCAGTCCCAGATTTCTCTATTCTTATCTTCTTATCTCTCAGAACATTGTTTCTGGTCCTCCAGTGGTCCTGAGACCAGGCTGCCTTAGCTGCTCAAGGACCCACATCCCGCAACACCCACACCCCGCAAGAAACCAGGGTGTATGTGTGGAAGAACACAGATCCCTGTGCCCATCTTTCTGGGGAACCAGGCTGCCCAAGGCTACCCATCCCTAAACTCTGAAAGAAGAGAGGAACTTCCCAGGCCAGTGTCCCGTACCCCGAAACACACACGGGTTGTGGGGGCAGACTGCAGATTGTACTCAGGAAACAAAAATCCCACCTTGCCTGGACTGCTGCCCTCCCCAGATCTACCCAGTTATTACCCTTCTCCCCGCCACCCCCAACATAGGTCTTTTTTCCTGGCGCCAGTAAGGACAAAAGACTCCAGCCAGATCCCCCAGGGGAGGGCTAGGTGGGAAAGGGCTCTTTCTTGGTTTAGGAAGCAGCTGCTGTTGTCTCAGGAAGTGCAACAGGGCCAAAAGTGGCTAAGGGGAGTGAGGGAAAAGTCATGGCGGCAGAAGGACCGTGGGAGCCACCTTCAGGGCCCAGGGTGGAGCTCATCAGGAGAGGGCTGGGGCTTAGCATGGTGGGGGGGGTCTCTCACTGCTCCCTCCTCTCCTTCTGCTCTGGACAGGACTACTTCCAACCCGGGGCACCTAAAATCCTTCTACAGAGGGAGGAAGGGACAAGAAAGAGCCCAGGGCAGGGAGCAGAAGGGCACTGAGAAGCAGCCCCTTTAGGTGAAAGGAGGGAAGAGGGGTACCTCAAAGGTCAGAGGCCACAGCCACCAGAACATAGCCAGCTGAGGATGTGTGGTTTGCTTGATTCGTTTCCAATTTGACTTTTTTTTTTTTGCACTCCTCAGCAGAGGTTGGGGGAAGAATAGGAGTGGCTAGGGATTTTCTTTGCACACATTCAAGAAGGAAGGGGACCCTCGTCCTGTGCAAAGGAACTGGGCATGGATGGTGGCATACACTTGACGTCCAGCACTCAGGAAGCCGAGGAAAGAGGATTGCTGTTCAGGAGGAGCCTGGGGTACACATGACAGAGCAGGGGTGATGCCGAGTGATGAGGGCTTGCGCTTTCGTTCTTTCTGTCAGGGCGGGCAGGATTTTCTCCTCCGTTTTCTAGACATAGCAACAAAGATTCAGAGAAGGTAATTCTGCGCCCTCAGTAACCCAGCCTAAGAAAAAAGAACTAAACCAAACTATCCGAATCCAAGTCTCTCTCTCTTTAAATAACCTGTATATTTCATGTGCATCGGTGTTTTGCCTGAATGTATGTCTGTGTGAGGTTGTCAGATCCCCTGGAACTGGAGTTACAGACAGTTGTGAGCTTCCTTGTGGCTGCTGAGAATTGAACCCGGACCTCGGGAAGAGCAGTCAGTGCTCTTAACAACTGAACCATCTCCTCAGCCCCTAGAGCCCTGTGCCTTAAGCTCTCCCACACCGAAGTACTGCTCAAGGCTGGTCCTGCAGACTCCAGGAAAAGAGCCAACCCTGGTCCCTAAGTATGGGGTAGCCACAGACCAAACGTCTCCTGCGTTGTGTGTATTTGGTGAATCTTTGAGGCCCATGAAAAAGGGCAGACAGCCCGCTTGTTCTTTCTGATCACAAGCAAAGAAATAACCCGATTAAAACAAACGGTCCCTGAGGTTCTTATTCACTGTGTGGGGAGATGCTGCCTGGAGACTGGGGTGTAGCTCACACGCGGCACGAAGGAAGCAAGCCAGTGTAAACTGGGTGTGGCAGTGCACACCTGTAATGCCAACACTCACCGAAGCAGAGACCGGATCAGAGGTTCAAAGTCATCCTCAGCTATATAAGAAGTTCAAAGCCACCCTAGGAGGCACGAGGCCCTATCTCAGAAAACAAAGCCAGGCATGGTGACACATGCCTTTAACACCAACATCCAGGAGGTACATGGATCTCTGTGAGTTCAAGGCCGGCCTATTCTACATAGCAAGTCTACAACAGTCAGGGTTACATTAAGGAGGTCCTGTCTTTAAAAATAATGCTCTCTGGATATTACGATCCTGGGTGGGACCATGTATTCTCATTTTATAGTGGAGGAAACTGATTGCCTGAGCTTGCCAAGGTAACACCCGAGTGGAGGAGGCCATGTGGTCCTGGAACCCTGTCCTTCCTCCCTAGCTCCCCTGGGCTTGACTCCAGACTATCTGTCTATGCTGCTAGGAACACGGGGTTCTGAGTTCTGACCAAGCCTCTCTTACAGCCACCAGGAAACAGCTGGAGGCCCGAAGATGCCATCATCAACCTTGCAGCGCCCCCAGAGTGTCTCTGCACGCCCAAGCCCTCTGCCGCATCGTCCCCTGAGACCCAGCACCTCAGCCAGGTGCGTTGACAGAAGGGCTCTGGAACCCATGCCATCTGATACCGCTGAGATAATGGGGACAAGGCGGGGAGGGCCTTTCCCCAGCATCCTCTTCCCCAGAAGCTAACCTCCCCACATCTAACCTCGCCTACCAAAGCCCAGGTCATTTCACCAGAGTCCAGACTTCACGTTTTCCTTTTCCCTGCTCAGAAAACTCTTTAGTAGCTTACTGGGTATCAGTTTAAACAGCTCTCAGCACCATGTGAGATGGGGCTGTAGAGGCTCTGCAGCGCCCCCTGCAGGTGACATTGTGAAAGCTAGCGAGGAGACCTCATCACCACCAGGCCCTGCTTCTCAACCTCACTGTCATCTCTTCAGACTACAGAGGAAGAGGCATCACCTTGCCTGGACCCCGAGGAGGACATGACGGCAGCTCCTCCCCTGCAGATGTCTGGAGAAGAACTGGCCGTGTCCGGGTTCATATCTGTGTAACTGCAGAGTGCCCCGTGGCCAGGCACTGTGAAGCTGAACGGCTGAGTTTGCATGAATTCTCTGGCTTCGCTCCCAATCCATGGCTCTCTCCAACTTCCTCCAGGCTCCCTTCTTGCATGCCCCAGGATGGTGAAAAAGTGTGCCTGGACCCCGGAGCCCAGGGTGGTACAATTCCAGCCATCTCCAGCATATTTTAATCCCTAGAGAGAGTGTGTGGCTGTGGGCCTTCACGGGGACCTGGCAGGGCTCAGTAGATGAGGACTGAGTTTGTACGCATTCCAGAACGTTCCCTGGACACGGGTGCCCAGCAACGGTCCTGCCCCCCACCCCCTGCAGATCCCACCTTCTCCTCCCTCCAGTTCTCCTGCGCCGGGTGCTGTGGAGGTGTGTGTCTATAAAACACCTGTGTCCTGGCCCTTCAGAAAACAATTAAACAGAATTAAAGATCCCCATCAGGACCTACCCAAACCATCTCTCTCAGGCAGGGCCCTGGATGTCACAGCTCTGACAAGTGACCCAGAGATTCCCACTCTTGGGCCTGAGGGATCCGCAGCCCCTTCTAGTCTAGACAGCCTTCCTTCCTTCCTTCTCCCTTTCACTCTGAGGACCCCTATATGCTCCCTAGAGCTCTGATCATGACGCCACCGTCGCCTCAGCAGGAGCTTCCGAATGCCTCCCTGGTCAGGTATGGGATGGTGGCATCTGGGGAATGGCTTTTCCACTCTCCTTCCCTGAGGCCCCGCATCATCCCTGTGCAGAAGAGGTTACTCCTCCAAGGACTCCGGAGGCTGGGGGAGGAGGAAGAGGAGGAAACCAGAACAGGAGGGAAGGGAGGGGACGGGAAGAAAGTAGACTCCAGTTACCAGAGGAGAGTGCTAAATCCAGGCCTGCTGGGTGAGGGAAAGACAGACCAGCTCAACTATCCCCCCCACGTCTTTCTGGTTTGTTTTGAAAAATAAAATGTTGGGAAGAGAGGTGTTCAGTATCTCAAGCGTAGGAATGTAGGGAGAAAAACGAAAGAACAGTGCTGCTCTTAAGATCATCTACAGCCTCACCAAGCTCTTGTTGACAGCCCTGATGGCACTGGGTTGGGTTTTCCTCCTTTCGCCTTCACGCCTTCACGAAGCGTGCAGATGCTGCTTAGGGAGGGACCATCCCACTATGGGCCGCAAGCTCGCTGCTCTTCTCTCCTCTGTGCTCTGTAGACCTCGAGCAATAAACTTTCTCAGCTGTGTACTACTTCAGCAAAAGGGTGTGCCTCAGTTTACCAAACCAGTTCTCTGTCGCTAGCTGTTGGGAGAATTAAAAACACCACACACACACACACACAAAACAGAAATATTATGTGTTTTTATTTTAAACCCAGGGGTGGGATATGTGGCTTCAGAGTGCCCACAGCAGCTGACTACGATTTGCCTCGTGCCGTAGCCTCGTGCTATAGCAGGAGTGTTGCAGGTAGATTCTCCACATGACATTTGGAATCCTGGGGGCTCTGAATTCAGAGGGTAGATAAACGCTAGGGCCCCAAGAGCAGTGTGGGTTGTCGGTTGGAAGCTGTCGGTTGCAGTTTTTTTTTTTTTTTAAGCAGTCGTGTGCAAAGACAAAACAAGAAGAAAAAAAAATAGATACCCTGACAGTGAAGATTAAACTTTTCCCAAGGAACCTGATGGCCCTCATCAGCAGGAAGCAGTCTAATGATAACGATGTTCCTTTTCCCCTCTATCCTTTTTTTTCTCTCCTATCTAGTGTTAGTGGGTTTAAAGGGTGGAAGGAAAACAAAACAAAACAAAACTCACAAAGTAGCCAAAAGTCCTGCTACTACTAGCTGTTTAATTTTCAGGGTGAATCTTTGTGTAGGGGCTTTAACTCTCTAGGATTTGCCTGTGTGGAAACGTGGTCCTGAGGAAGAGAATGTTGTTGAGACAGGGTTTCTCTGTGTACCCTTGGCCAGGCTGGCCTTGACCTCACAGAGATCTGCCTGCCTCTGCCTCCCAGAATGCTGGGGTTACAGGTGTGCGCCACCATGCCTGGCTGAATGTTGTCTTCTTTCCCTAACCTTCTCCAGTCCCTTTGCCTCTTCTCTCTCCTCTTCTAACCTCTCCTGGAGGAATGACTCGGTAGGTAAAGTATTTGCTGTGCAAGCAAGAGGACCTGGAGTCAGGCAGGCCCCTAGGAAAAACATCCTTGCGAGTCTATAGCCCCAGTATTGGAGTGGAGGGAAGATGGTGAATCCCAGGAGCGTGCCAGCCAAAATATCAACCTCTAGATTCAGTGAAAGACCATCTCAAAACTAGAGGAAGACATGGATGTAGACCTCTGGCCTGTACAGGTAGATATGGACAAGGGAACACACACACACAGCCTGTACCTACAAGAACATAGGCCATGCAACTCTATTAATACATTAGAGATTTGGATACACAGTGGCCCCAGGCAGTCAGATAGCAGGGTTCACCCAAAAAGGTCATCCAAAGTGGACTCTCCAACCTGACAGAGTAGTGCACACCTGTAATCCCAGTACTTAGGAGGCTGAGGTAGAAGAATTCCAAGTTCTAGGCTGGTCTGTGCTGTGTGATGGGACACAACATAAATTAAAGCATGATGGTGTTTTAGAGCAACTGATGGAAGAGAAGCACCCTCCCCCTTATCTCAATGGCATAATTGCTTTGTGTAAAATTTTTAAAGTTATATTTTTAAAAAGCTAACAACAACAACAACAAAAGTGCACACTTTTAATCCCAGGAGGCAGAAGCAAGTGAATTAGAGGCTAGCCTGGTCTACATAGCGAGTTCCAGAGCAGCCAGGGCTACACAGAGAAACCCTGTCTAAAAAAATAGAAAAAAAAAAAAAGATCATCTGTCTTTTATTTAGGAAAATATATTGATGCTAAATATATTGAAGCTAAAAAGATGTTTCATCCACATCCAAAAGAGTGGCAAAATAATAATAATAATAACAACAGTGGCCAGCAAACCTGGTCACACCTTTGAATCACTTGGGAACTTCTAAAACACGCGACCTCACGGGGTCCATGCTCAGCGGCACTGAAATCTGCTGGCTGCTGCTCACTCATCCAGAGCACACAGGAAGATGACATTCCCCAGCCTTCCATTCGGTATCCTGGGGCTGGGGACTAGGTTCTGATGTACAAGCGTCCTCTGCAGAGAAATCTGCAGTGAGGGTGGAGGGGTGGTATATCACCATTCCCTCCTGAAGAACTCCAGGTGGAGAGGGAGATTGCTCCCCTGGACCACACACACTCTGTGGCGGCATCACGTGGGTGACCTGGGTGACGGTTTTGTTGTTGCTGTTCTGGGGATCAAAAGACTAACATTTTGGAATCATCTGCCCCGAGGTGAGCCCCTAGAAGCCATGAGCGTTATTGCTGAGGCACTGTGACGCTGTTACAGAGGACAAAGCCAAGGTCTAGGGAGGCAGGGACGTCTGTGGGAGGCCACACAAGTTCCACGTGTGGATTGGCCGTCGAGTCCCTGAGGCCTCTGTCCCTTTGATGTCTCACCAACTCCCAGGCATAAGCACTCAGAAGGAGCCCTGTCTGCAGATAAGAGCACAAAGAGGGCAAGACAGGCGAAGAAGACACCATAGTAGATGCACAGACGCATGTCAGTCCATCTTCTATTCTGGAATCATCTGTGCTGTATTCCCTAACCCTCACCTTCTCCCCAAAATATCTACTCAACCCCAAACAGAGACAAACAGAGCCCAGAAACATTTGCTTTTGCATTTAATCAAAGGAAAAAAAAGAAAACTTAAGAATTGGATGGCCGGTGGGGGGAACAAAGGAAGAGTAATGGGCTGAGGCTGATGGACCATGGGGGCAGGGCCCTCCTTCTCCTGTGGTCCTGGTGGGAGGGAGGGGGGACAGGCACAGAGCTAGCTTGCTGGGCACGAGCATGTCCTAACCCAGGCCCTCCAGCCGGTGAGCCGAGAAGGCCCACAGTCTCTCTTCCCACCTGGTCAGTGCTTGGATGGGGAGTAGAGCTAGATTCAGCGGGAGAGGTAGGAGGCTGTTCAAAGAGGAGGGGCCCAGCCCTGCCCCTTGCACATTCCCGGAGAGGAGGATGTGGGAGTTGCTACCACACCGGATATCCTGAGGGATGAAATGGTACCAAGTCTCCAGCATGGCACCAACCAGATCTCTATCAGAGGCCATGGTCTTTTGGTCAGGGGGGCTTTGTGGGTTAATCAAAGGGATCAGGGGCTGTCACAGATGATTCTCCGACCCTACACTCATCCTCCAGGGGAGGATGGAACCGGCAAGCAGGGAAATAAGCCATTTCCCTCCCACAACCAGTCCGCTTCAGCTAAGTAAGCGTCAGGGTCCCAGCAAGATACTGAACTGAAGAAAAGGACACGGACTAAATGGAAAACCAAGGCGGGAAAATGACTGAGCAGTGGATAGCAGCGCTATGCAAATGAGCAGCGGGCAGGCCCACCTCTAGTCTCATTGGCACGTCTGATGCCTATGCAAATGAGATTCCTAATATAATAAATATATTTCTAGCATTTGTAATAAATAGTCTTTCTTTTCCCTCCCCACCCCCTTCCCTAGGAAATGGGCACACAGTGGTTCAGGGGCCAGCTTGGGCTGACGCTGCAGCAAAGACTGACACGCAGGAGAACTGGGAGGCACAGGGTAGGGGTGCCGGGGGTCCCCTGTGAGGACAGGGGGCCCCTCAAGAATGAAGGATGAGATGTCTCCAGATGTCAAGGATGTGGTTCGTAAAAGGATTACGGTATTTTACAAAACCATCCTCCCTAAGGACTAAAGGCTGGTACTTAGGCTAGGGGACAATAGGACAGTAGAGGAAAGTTCCAGGCTCTGGGGTCTGGGATGGGGGCTTGTAAGAAATGGGGAGGAGAAGCTGAGGGAAATCCATGAGGGGGCCTCAAAGAGCCACCACCAAGAGAAAGCACTACTCTGCCCCCCCCCCAAGCTAAAGCTAATCTGTCTGGTTCCAAGCTGCCACCCCTCCTCAGCCCTAATGCCAGCGGGCCACTTAGATCCATCCAGAGAAGAGCCTGAAGAGAACCAAAGTGTGGGCTGTGGCGCCTGGAGTACTTTTGGTCCCGACAACAGAGGGTTCAACTTTCCATTTCCAGCCTGGGCTAAGCCTACTGCCACCCACCAGTTGCCCTGTTTGGGGAGCAGGGCTTACAGAAGACGGACATCTTGAGAAGGTCTGTGGAGAGACTTTGGCAGTGAGAAGCTGGGAATAAAGGAGGGACCAGGCTGTGTCTGCTCCTCAGAGAGCCGAGGCCTGCGTCACCAGCTGCAGCGACTAGCTCACGACCAGGCGTCCCCAGCCTCTAAAATGGTCCAGACTGGAACCACTGCCCGGGTCTGCCTAGCTATTAGTGGGCTGAGTACCCAAGGCTGGTCCTGGGACGAGAGTAAGGGATGGGAGGGGCCGGGGAGCTGGTGGGTATGGCCAGCCCCCGGGGAAGAAAAAGCTGGCAGTGTCTCCTTCCAGTGTCTGGGGCCGACCACAAGGCCCCAAGCAGCTCTGCTCTTTCCTGGACTGAACATTACGGGAGTGACTCTGAGATGCTCCTGGACACAGCATGATCCTTAGAAAGGGATGTCTGGTGGCCAGGGGGCAGAGGGAGTGGGCAGCACCTGGGTACAGGGGTACCCCATGAACACCTCCCTCCCTGGCAGTACACACCTCTGTACTGAAGCCAGCCCCCTACCGGGCGCTGTGACCCAGGGGGGGGAAAGCCTGGAGATGGAGGGTGAAGAGCGTTAGCGGGAATGGGGGAGTGTCACAGGTGAAGGATGGATTCCCAACCAGGCAAGGGACAAGGTCCAGAGCAGGGCTCAGTACACCCAGCTGACCGGCACCCACTGGGGCTCCGACCGAAGCTTCTCCATAGCAGCCTGGAGCTCACGGAAGGTCCTCTCCAGGTTGCTGTTGACCAGGCTGAGGTCGAAGTAATGCCCATAGCCCCTCTGGATACGGCTGCTCTCCTCTACCGTCCGCCTCAGATCCGCCTCCTGTCCGGCACAAGGGGCTTCGGTCAGCACCTCCAACTCACTGCCTTCATCAGAGGGACCTCAGCCCGTCTACCTCAGCCCAGAGCTCGGCCACAGTGGTGTAAATTCCCCGTGCACCCCCCCCCACACACACACACCATGGCTGTGTGCCCATGTCAAGCTGGGAGGGAGGAAGGAAGAAAGGCAGGAAATAAGCTGTTGTAAGTGACAAGTGGGACTCTAACCATTCAGCAACCCACAGGCTCTTCACCGCACTCCACAAGAGGGCCAATTGTCCCCCGTTAATAACGCAAAGCTCAGGTACAAAGAGGTCACAGGGAGTCGGCGGCTCAACAGGGACGGGCCCGATTCCAGCCAGAGCTCCCCGCAGCCTGACCAAACCCCTTCCTATAGCTACGAGGTGGCATCAGGACTTTCCAGGTAGCAGGGCAATTCCCCACCCGGGAGGTAAAGGAAGCTAACAGGGAAGCGGCCAGGGAACTGCTTGGACAGCCGACTTAACCAAGCTGAGGGAAGCTGTGTCTCACAGGCTCTAGCTGCATTGGTTGCCAGGGCCACGGTGCCCAGAGCCAGGATCGGGTCATCAGAAGATGCGAGCCCAACCTAGAGGCCATGGTAACAGGCATGGAACAGGCATGGAACAGGCGGAGCCTTGAACTCGGAGCTCGGCAAGCCCTCTTCCTGGGGGGATGCTGTATGAAGGCCCAAGTTTCCTCCAGAACCTTCCCCTGCCCCAGCTCTTCCACTGGCCCTCTGGGACTTCTTTGGCCAGCACTGTCTCTCTGAAGAGTGTACCTGTGGTAGGCCTGGCATCGAAGTTCTGTGTCCCCGGCTCCATCTGTGCTCCTCTCAGCCTTTTCACACAAATCGCTGACCAAAAGCCCCACCTCTCTAAGCTCTACCACCAGACAACCCGAAACCGGCCCGCCTCCCAGCCACTCAGATCCCCTCACCGTCAGCTGCTTGGTGGACACGCCACTCTCCAGTGCAGCCCGGTTCATGGCCCGCAGGGTCTCGAAGTCAGGAGCCTCGATGAACACCACATAAGGGACAAACTCAGCTGTCCTTAGGACCTTCACGGCCTGCAGGAAAAGACGAGGGTGGGAGCGTAGGGAACAGGAAACACGCGTGGGTGACAGGGTGGGCACCTGAGAGTGGATTCTGGGGGTGCCTGGGGTTTCTGGGTCCTGAGAATCACAAGGTGGCTGGCGAGGGACCAGACACCGACCAACTGAAGGAGACCGGGGGGGGGGGGGGGCCAGGAATCTAGGAAGTGGGAAAAGAGATCTGGGTCCCTAGTTGGGGGGAACACGAACGTCACAAGGTTTACGGGGGTTGCTGAGGGGACCAGACGGGAAGGGCTAGACAGTACCTGGGGGTTGACGTCCAGCACGCACACCTTGCCGGAGGCGACCACGCCCCGGATGGAGTCAATCCGAGTCCCATACAGGTTGCCCTCGTACTCGCCGTGTTCCAGGTACCGCCCGGCGCGGATATCGGCCTCCATCTCCCCACGAGACACAAAGCTGTAGCCCTGCCCTTCCCGTTCTGAGTCCTTGGGCCTCCGGGATGTGTCTGGGAGGGCGGGGGAGGGAGAGAAGGGTGGCCTCACAGCAAGGGTCAAGAGACGGTTCTCGTTTCTGCCTCCAGGAACCATCACCCACCTTCACCTCCTGCTGTCCCATCACTCAGAAGCCCTGTCTGCCGTAAGGCCTCGTACAGTTCAACGCCTCTGTTTCACCACATCCCAAAGCAGACAGACACTTTAAAAACCCGAGAAATCCTGCAACAGAGCCAGCCCCTTCGCCAGACCCTGAGCCTGCAGTTCCCCGTCCACCCACAGGGGGCGCGCACCACACGCCCAAAGGAACCGCCTGACCTGGTGGCCCTCGACGGTGCTCGCTCAGAGCTGTTCAGCACCCCTCCCCCGCCACCCCCTTCCCCTCCCCCGCCCACCCCCGCACCTCCTGCTCCACGGCCCCCACTCACAGGGCACCGTGGTGCCGTAGCGGTCTGGATCCCACAGAATGAGCTTATTTTTCAGGCTGCGCCGGCCCACACCCTGCGCGCCGATCAGCACCAGGGTTTTCCGGCGGAACGGGGGCATGCGGGCTACCTCCTCATAGATGAGCAGCTCGTGGCGGTCAAACTCTGGGCACAGGGAGATGGCGGGGCTCACCGGGCTGTCCCGTGGGGCGGGGCGGGGGGGGGGGCTCTCAGAGTGCATGAAGGGTTAAAAAAAAATGCTTGCGGCCAGGGAAACAGGGAGGTCACTTAGGCCACCGGGACAAGACCCACCTGCGTTCTTGGTGGTCAGATACATCATTCGCTTCTTTTTCTTTCCCGAAAGGCTGCCGCACAGGGTCCCTGGCCACAAGGAAATAAGTAAGCAAGCTGGGCCAGGCCGGGTCTTAAACCAGGCCTGAGGTGGAGGAGGCGTTTGCTACCTGAGGTCGGGGTCAGTTCCAGGTCCCGCTTGACAAAGGCTTTCCGCTTCTCCTCCAACAACTGGCTGGGGATGAGCCCGGCGCTGCCCCCTTCCACGTGGCACGCCTGAAACAGCCCAAGCCACAGGCCTCCCTGGGTGAGAGGACCCTCTCCTGCGCCCCGCCCCTTCTGCAGGAGACGCTGCAGGCGTGACCCGGGGCTCACCTGCCACCAGTTGGCATCATCTTGGTTTACGATCTGGAGCAAGTCCCCAGCGCTGAAGCGCAGGCCCGCTTCCTTGCAGGGGATGAGGCTGTCCCTCGCTGGGTCATAGTCGAAGTGGCATTTCACAAATACCTGAGCCGGGGATTTGGGAAGAGTTAAGATATCAGATAGAGTGTGTCTCCAAGGGAAGGGTGTTTGGAGGACGGTCCACACACACACACCCCTCTCCCTGGAGGAGTGATGTCTCCAGGCCTAACTACCCCACCTTCCTGGTCCTACTCTCCTCTTGAAAAGTGAAACGCAAAGATTCAGATTGAGCAATTGAAGAACTGCCCTTCGGTCACGCCACAGGGGGAAACAAAAAAAAAGGTGGACTCAGGCACCTCACCCTGAATTCTTAATTCCACCATCCAGAGGACAGCCCTCAGGAGAGTTTGAAAGCCAGGGAGGCCGCTGAGCTCCACGATCCACCAAGAAGGACGCAGCTTCCGGGGCAGAGCGACGCCCACCTTACACAGGCCTTCAGGGTGAGGTCTTGCACACACACACACACACACACACACACACACACACACACACACGGCGCAAAGGCCACAGAGATCTGCACGTCTTTGCACACTCAGAACACTCAAGACAATCTCTATCACACTTAGGAAGGACTTCCTAGGCCCGGCCGCCCCCGCGGCCTTGAGCTCCAGTGGGGTCCATGCAGACAGGCCCACCTGTCGGGGGAGGTGGGGTTCCTGGTAGCTGGGCAGTATCTTGAGGATGACGCTGCCACTGGCGCTGCGCAGGAGCTCCTGCAGCGCCCGGGGATCGCTGCCCACCGGCTGCCCGTTCACTTCCTTGATGATGTCACCCACGTGCAGCAGGCCCTGCTGAGCCACCATTCCCCCGTGCAGAATGCGGGCAATCACCAACTCGCCGCCCTCCACCCGGAATGTCACGCCCTGGGGGAATCAAAGGAGTAAGGCTATCTCTGCTCCCAGTCTTCAAAGGGGGGCTCCTGGTGAGCCCCGCCCCCTTCCCGTCCCCACCCTCATCTCACCAGATGCTCTCCCGCAGTCTTGCGGATGCCCACCATGCGCACGGCATCGGGAGGTACCGGCTGGTTGCTGAACGTGGGATCCAGACCCGGGCTGGGGGGTGGCGTCTCGTAGGTCTTTGAGGCCACTGAGTCATGTGTCTCCAGAAGGGACTGAAAAGCGATGGAAGGAGAAGGGCCAGTGGGGAAATGCCCAATGCTGGCTTCGCAGCCAGGTTCCTGCCAGGAAGATGCCCACCCCACCCTCCGCAGCCAGCAGCCCGGAACCGGAACCTGGAAGTGGGGCTCCTGGAGGATCCGCGTCAGCTCCGCCGCGGTGCTGCTCTGCTCCGCCAGCTCTGCCAGGTCCCGCAGGATTTCCTGCACCAGCTCCAGGTTGTTATCCCGAACGGCCTCCAACTTGGTCTCTTCCAGCCTCTCGTGGGCCTGGGGTGTGGAAGCAGCACAGATAAGGCCCCCACGAGTCCCCGCGCTCCTCCTCTGGCTCCGAGCCCCTAATCCTTCCCAGACACCCCCTGTGAGGTCGCTCTGCTATGTGTAAGTCAGCTACCCGAGACACAGACACACAGACACACACAATCACATTCAGGTGTCCTCTGTTCTCCTCTCTCCAGCAGTGATGATTAAGACTCAGTTTATAAGCCGGGCTGTGGTGGCGCTCGCCTTTAACTCCAGCACTAGGGAGGCAGAGGCAGATGGATCTCTGTGGGTTCGAGGCCAGCCTGGTCTACAAAGTGAGTCCAGGGCAGCCAAGGCTACACAGACAAACCCTATCTCGAAAAACAAACAAAAAAGGCTCAGTTTGTGGTAAGACAATCCCAAAGACAGACTTCTGTTTCTATCCTCCTGACTCACAGGGCCATCAAATATTATCACGCTGTCCCCATCTCCCAAGGTAATGTAAGTTCCATCAACATCATGGTTGGACGGGACTTTACACATCTTGTAGTTTAAGGTGGCTAAGAAAGCCGTGGAGGTAAAGTAACTTCCCCAAGGTCGTGGTGACTTGAACTTTGGCCTCCGGGCTCAGTGCTTTTAAAGAGTCTGGGTATTGGTTGAGCGAGTGGGCCACGACTGGATTGGTCTGATTTTTTTTTTTTTCATGGTTACGCTTGGTTTCACACTGGGGAGCTGTGCCTTTCCCACGCCTTGAGACTGTGACTGTCCTGGTCCCCAGTGGATCTGGCATCCGCCCGTGACCCTTGCCTGAATCTGTTATCCCAGCCAAAGCTGGGCATCAAGTACCTAAGAACCTTCCACGTTTTGATTGACATTCTACTGGGGGAGAGAGAGAGAGCGCTTCCCTGGGCTGGCTGGCGAGATAGCTCAGACTGAAGCATGAGGACGGGGCTCTAATCCCCAGAACCCACATGAACTCTCCAAGGGGCAGCAGATGGTCTGCCATCCCAGCCTTGCATGACAGGGGCCCCTCAGAACAAACTGGCCAGAGAGGCCAGACACGTGGGTGAGTTCTAGGCTTCTTCAGAGACTCTGCCTCAGTGAAGGTGGGAGAGCCATGGAGGATGACTCCCAACCTCACACATACCACACACATGTGCAAGTGCGGCCACCCACACGTGTGTGTCCATGCAGACACACACACACACACACACAGAGAGAGAGAGAGAGAGAGAGAGAGAGAGAGAGAGAAGAAAAATGTTTCCTTTCTCTCTCTCTCTCTCCAACCCTGACTCTGTTCTCTGGGTATTGCTATCAACATTTTTTTTTTTTTGGTCCATTCATAGTTTTGTTTTTAAACAGCCCTACTCACTTGCCTGAATGTTGTCTTAAGGCAGTTTTCATGCTATGTGGCGGAGTTAAAGAGTTGTGTCTGAGAGTACACAGCCTGAAAAACCCAAGGTACTTACTATCTACACCTTAGCGGAAAAATTAGGTGGTTTTTAAAATGTTTCATCAGTATGTGTGTGCGTGTGTTTATAAGTTATACATGATGGGCTCCATTATGACATTCTATGTATTTTTCCTGTTTTGTGTGTATGACTGTTTTGCCAGCATGCATGTCTGTGCACCACATGAAAGCAGTGCCTTGGGAGGCCAGAGGGCCTTGATCTCCTAGGTCTGGAGTTGTGAGCTGCCATGTGGCTGCTGGGAATCAAACCTGGGTCCTCTGGGAGAGCAGCCAGTGCTCTGACCACTGAGCCATCTCTCCAGCCCTATGTTACATGTTTTGATCTTATTTTACTCCGTACTACCCTACCTTGTCTCCTTCCTTCTTCCATGGATCCCTTCCTCTTTACAACTAGTTTCCTTCTATTTCTGTGTCTTTTATTTGTTTGTTTGTTTGTTTGTTTGTTTGTCTGATTAGACATTAGCTTCATCAGGACGGCTTAGGGCAGTGGTTCTCAGGCTTCCAAACGCTGCGACCCTTTAATACAGCTCTTCATGTTGTGGTGACCACCCAACCATAAAATTATTTCCATTGCTACTTTGTAACGTTGATGTTGCTACTGTTACGAACTGTAAATATCTGATATGCTGGATGTTTGGCTTTGTACTTCCGTTTTCACCCCAGGTGAGGGGGTTATGGGACTGCTTCAGACTGCCCGAAACACCTGACTATGATTTGCCTCGCGCTCTGGCAGTCTTGCCAGCTGCAGAGAGTCTCTAATACTGTGTGATGTTTGGAATTCTGGGAACTTCTCAGAGGGTATATAAATGCTAGGGTCTCGACAGGTGGGGTTGGTGGTTGGTGGTCGTTGGGAGTGGGGGTTGAGGGCAGTTTGTTAGTAGTCGTGCTCAAAGAAGAAACAAGAAGAAAGAAATCAGTTCAAGGATCTCTCTCTCATGCTCAAAGAAGAAACAAGAAGAAAGAACTTGGTTCAAGGATATCTCTCTCTCTCTCTCTCTCTCTCTCTCTCTCGCCCTCTTCTATTTATTCTCTCCTATCTAGTGAGAGAAGGTGAAACTGGAGGGGATAAAGGGTTGGGAAAAGAGCCCGGGTTGTAGAAAAGGCAAGCTCCAAGTGGCGCCCAAAGTGGGAGGGGTGATGGGGGATGGCGTCGGCACTGCCACACTGCCAGCACCCTAGCTCCTGGTTCCTGTCTTGTTCAAACGGGCATGACAACAGACTGCCGCTGGATGGCCAGACAGAAGGAGCTGTAAACGCTTGGGTGCGCTCACCCGTATGTCCAGGCTCTTTTGTCAGGAAGGGGTTATTATCCTGGGGAGAGGGGTCCAGAGAGAGAGGCCTTGTCATGCTGGGCTGATGTAGGGAAGAACACGGTGACAACAGAAACCCGTAACACCTGCGTACTGCTGACAAGGGTCCATCCATCCGAGAGCAACCCTCCTCCCTTCTGCTGCAGGCTCACCTAACGCTTTCCCTAACCCAGGTCTGACACCAACCGCTTCTCCAGAGTCCTTTGTCAGGGACTGGAATCCAGAAACCAAGACTGCCTCTCGGTACTTGTTGCTTCTTTTGTATTGTTTATCTGTATTTTATTGCCATGGTGTGTGGTGGTGTGTGTGTGTGTGTTTGAGAGTCTGCCACAGCATACAAGTGGAGGTCAGAGGGCGACTTCATGGCGCTGGTTCTCTCCCTCTGCGTTTACAATGGGCTTTCAGGGATCAATCTAAGGTCATCAGGCTTGCGTGATGAGCACTTTAACCCCCTAAGCCATCTCACTGGTCTCTGTGTGCCATTTCCTTAATGGTCGATATTGGTGGTTTCCACTAAGATAATTCAAGCTGGGGGCAGAGGCACACACCTGTGATCCCGGCACTCAAGGAGGCAGAGGCAGGCAGATCTCCTTGAGTTCGAGGCCAGCCTGGTCTACAAAGTGATTACAGGACAGCCAAGGCTACACAGAGAAACCCTGTCTCAAATAAAAAAATAATAAATAAATAAATAAATAAAAAGATAATTCTACAGGATTGTCCTTACATTTCTCCACTCCACATTCCGGCCTCTACGTTCTATGTTTCCCTAGCGAGAACTCATTTCCAATCACAGCGATCACTTAACTTTTTGCTCAACTAAGTGAAGATGGAGGTGAGCTAGAGCTCTCTTTGGTCTTCTGTAGGGGAGGGGGTTGTTTGTTTGTTCTAAAACAACAACAATGTCTCACTACGTAGCTTTGGCTGGCCTGGAACTTGCTATGTAGACCAGGCTGGCCTTGAATGCATTAGAGAGCTGAGTACTCCTGTGTCCTGACATCTCTCCGTCCTTACAAGACTGATGTCTACAAAATGTGCTCATGAGTGAAAATGTTCTCTGCGTTGTCTAACACGGAAGCCACCAGCCATTCGTGGTGGTGAACACTGAAGACGTGGATGCCAGATCTGAGGAACTCAAATTTGTTTTGTTTTGTTTTGTTTTGTTCTGTTTTGAGATAGGTTTCTCTGTGTAGCCCTGGCTGTCCTCCATCTCACTCTGTAGGCCAAGCTGGCCTCAAAGTCAGAGATCCACCCGCCTCTGCCTCCCAAATGCTGGAATTAAAGGCATGAGCCACTGCCTCCCTCTCTTTGTTTTGCTTTTTGAGACAGGGTTTCTCTGTGTAGCCTTGGCTGTCCTGGACTCACTCTGTAGATCAGACCGGCCTCAAACTTACAGTAACTGCCTGCCTCTATCTCCCTGAGTGCCAGCTCTTTTTTTTTTTTTTTTTTTAATTTAAGCATTTCACTTTAAGTTTTTTGGTAGTTTGGATAGACATGCCCCCCCCCCCCCATATATTCATGTGTTTGAGTGCTTGGCCCATAGGAAGTAGCACTATCAGGCGGCGTGGCCTTGTTGGAGGAAGTGTGTCGCGGTAGGGCTGACTTTGAGGTCTCCTATGCTCAAGCTCCACCCAGTTCCCTTCTGCTGCCTTCAGATCAAGACATAGAACCCCGAGCTCCTTCCCCAGCGCCGTGTCTGCCTGCCTGCCGCCATGCTTCCTGCCATGATGATAACGGACTAAACTGTAAGCCAGACCTAATGAAATGTTCTCCTTTGTAAGAGTTGCTCGGCCACGGTGACTCTTCCCAGCAATAAAACAGTAACTGAGACAAGTATTATCTTGAAACATCTTTACTGCTATAACCGAAAATAACTTGAGTCTGAAGGCTGGGAATGTAGCTCAGTGATAATGTAGCTCAGAGGCTCTGGGTTTGGTCCTCAGCAGCACCAAAACAACATCAACAACAAAACCACCTTGATACCGAGTAACTTACAAACAACGGGAAGTAATTAGAGTCGTGCAGGCAGGAAGGTTAGAGGCCAAAGTACTGAACTCATGCCTCCCAGAGCGGTCAGAAGGCTTTGGAAAGAGCCACACTAACACTGTCCAGCGGCCTGTAAGGCTGCTAATCTCACTGGGAAGGACTTCACCCTCATGAGCTAACTGCGCTCTGAAGGACGCACCTGTTAATACTGCCACACTGAGGGCTCCTCGAAAGGGCTACAGTGTGTCGTTGGAACACTTCAG